ACCCACCAACACCCTACTGACCACCTACCAACACCCTACTGACCACCTACCAACACCCTACTGACCACCTACCAATTAACACCCTACTGACAACCTACCAACACCCTACTGACCACCTACAAACACCCTACTGACAACCTACCAACACCCTACTGACCACCTACAACACCCTACTGACACCCCTCCAACATCCTACTAACCACCTGAAAAAAACCCACCAGCACCTACCAATTTTGGGGTTGTAGGGTTTACCGACAAGAATTGAATGATCTACGCAAATAAATAAATTGACTACAAATAAACTCACTTGTCTGTGCTCCTCTGTGAACTCCCCCAATGCCTCCAGTAACAAAAACGTCAATGCCAGCCTTCTCGGCTGCAATCATGGTGCCTGCTACTGTTGTTCCTCCCATCATACCCTATATTGTTTACATGGAAAATGGAAAATTCACCATTCTGAAGTTCAAAGGAAGACTATTACTAACCTTGTGGTGAACAGACAGAATAATAGGGCTACATTGACCTCTCTACCTTGACCCCTCTACCTGTAATGTTTTCCCCTTTCAAACCACATGACATTCCCTAGAGTAACATTTCTTTGTCTAATGGTTGTGCATGAGAAGACACATGAACATAGATACAACTCAAACAAAGAATCTTATTCTCAAGGGAATGACATTTGGTCTGAAATGGGAAACATTACACCCAATATTAGGTAAAAAGGTATATTTTCTGGGATGAGGTCAAAAAGCCTTTACCATCCCACATCCCCAAATTCGACCTCACAGTCTTCCGCACCATCCAAGAGAACATTTTTATATAAAGGGCTGTACATACAAACCTCCGATGAATTTCAAAAAGGTGGAATATGATGCTACACAGAACTTTGCCAAAATACTGTATGTTGGAAAAGGTAATTATTGAAGAAGAATTATAGCTAGGGAAAATATAGACTCTAGGTGCTACCTAAAATTGCTGATTAATGAGATTCTCAATGAGATTTGGTTAATAGACCACACCTTGCTAAGTACGTAAGGAAAGTCTCTTCTTGATGTCTTTACAGATTCCTTGTTTTTGGCTAATTTCTCAAGATTTTCCATTGAAATACCTAAAATATGTGAACAAGTAAAGTTAACATGTGTACAAAGGACTAGAGAAAATTTCATATGAAAATTTAGCCTGTAGTTTGTTTTTTGGTGGCCCATGGCAAATGCATGAATTACATGGGGGAGCCTATGTATAAAGCAACTGATGTAGAATGTATCATCAAAATACAATGAATATCGCACCAATAATAATACAATTAATAGATAGAACGACAATATATAATACAATAGATTTTCTGAATAGAATACATAAACTGAGTGCTACGTATGTAGATTCTCCCATTTTGCCACAAGTGCATGGTACTCGATGTTTGACTGTTAAGCAAAATGTGAGGGTCATAGAGAAGTACTTTTAAAAGCCTCATACATATATGAGGCAGATGTGAGGGTGATCATTGATGGTCATTTTTGTCTGTTTTCTTTGCACTGACACAGTCTACATGCATATGCTTAGTTTTTTGTTTGCTGGTTGATTCAAAGGTTTGATATCACTTTGTTACAACTTACCAACATGAACACAACCATCAAAGACTGCAACTGTTGCTGGTATGGCACCATTTTCCCTCACTATCTTGCACACTTCTTTAGCGATACTAAAACAACAAAAAACTAATCATTAAATATTCAGGGAATGATTAATTATATATAATATATAGGGCTGAGCCCCTACATGGGCTGATCAAAGTCATGGCTTCCATTGATAGCACTTGAATTTCAACTGAAGGAACTATACCAATGTCAAATATAGAAATACTTTATGGCACAGCTAGGCAAGGCTACCCTAACCCTTTCTATTTACAAACCTTAGGTTCTGTGGATATGCAAAACCATGTGTAATGATTGTAGATTCCAGAGCTACAACTGGCTTCTTCAATGCAACTGCATCTGCAACTTCAGGATAAATATTTAACAATGGATTTGATGTTTTATCTAGTAGAGTCTTGACAATCGGTTTTGGTCCTAGGCCTGTCCCTAGTGGGCTGTACTCAGTTATTGTACTTAATCTTCTGAATGAGGCAAGTCTTGAATGCTTGAGAACAGACCACACTCCCTTGATCATCATTCTACAGGATCAGTAACAACCTATCAATTAAAAACACACGTGTGATATACACCTATTTCAAAAAAAGGTTGTCCATTGGATATCTGAAATCAGAAATCTGAGACTGATTATAATTGTGGGGAACTGAGTGTTTTCTTGTTCAAAATTCAATATACACTTAGCCAGATTGTTTGCCAGCACAGAGGTTAATATCAAGATATTAACTTTTTGCGAACTACTTATTAAAACCACAAACAAATTACAACCCACAATTCCTTTCGGCCTCAGATTTCAGATCTCCGACCGACAACGTTTTTTGAAATAGGTGTATACATTTAATTTGTTTATATGTACCTATCAAAGCCAAGTCCCAAGTATTATCCATTTCAAGGTTAAGGGAAAAACTGGCTGGGTCGAGTTGGCATTGTAGTGTGTTGTGGGACAGCTTTAGGGAACATATTTCCAAGATGGCATCTATTTCGTCCCCTAAAACAGTCCCACAATGAAATGCAATGCTAACTCAAAGCAGGTTTTTCTTCAACCTCAGGGAAAAAATGAAAAAGATCTTAACAAAAATTGAAGAAAAAATTAAAAATTGTTACTTGATAATAAGCCTTTTCATAGTTTAAGAATTGATTCCACCGCGCATGCAATTTTATCCCAAATTTCTCACCTTCTTTTGTCTAAACCTTCTTTTGTTCTTAATTAAACAAAAGAAGGTGAGATATTCGGGATAAAATCGCATGCGCAGTGGAATCGATTCTTAAACTATGAAAAGGCTTATTGCATGTTTCCCCCAAAAATCAGAAAGCGAAATCCCATATCCCGCCCTAACTTACCCTAACATCAAACATAAGAGATTGCATAAGAGTGAAAAATAGTACAAATGATTATACTTCTTTTCTGTGACCCCTTACCTGAAATACATTATATTTTCTGTCCCTCCCCCGGTGGGAAAGGAAAAAAGCCACAGATGTATAAAGTTACCCCAAAATATAAGGTTAAACGCAGTGTAGCATACATTTACCCTAAAACTATTATTACACACAACATTTTAGGCTTGATAAGTTAATTCGTAATTTAAATTAAGGTGCAAAATTTACATTATAAGCTGTATAAGTGACAAAAAAGAAAATTATCTTAACAAATGAGCTTTAGTTATTATACTAACAATGTTCCACGTGAAAATGCTCAAACCATTCGGTTTTGCGCAGGGAAAAGATTAAAATCATACTTACAAATACAGTTGTTTTCAACAAAAGACTTTTATAAATAAAAGAACACGAAGATCAATCCTGTAGGAAGTTATGAAATACATTTCTCAAAACTAGCTAATAAACTATAAATAGGGTTTCGAACCTAACAGGAATCAGTCTCCATCCATGTTCCAATAGTGACCTCGAACGAGCTCGAAGGTTAAGCGGAGGCTTCACGATTCTTTATCGATTGGTCCGAGGAGTTGACGGAAATGGAGAAATTATGGTATGTATGGGAGTTCGGCCACGTGAGGTTTCTCTTTCTTTCAAGTTTTCGCCTTGGTGAGTGGAGTAAAATTTTAGTGCCAGGTTTTATGCCTTTTTTCGTGCGGTTTAACCAATTTCTTTGCAATAAAATAACGTAAAATGATATCCAATTCTTCCTTGGTGTTTATTTTTGAAGAAAAAGTCTAAAAATCCGTTAAATTCTAGAGTTATATTGCGAAAACTGAAAACCGATCAAATTTCCAGGCAAAACACCCCGGTTAAAACACGTTGTGTGTAGAAAATACGAGCAAACTTATAATAATAATTTAACAATAAAAGAACTTTAAAAGTACGTTACTATAACAGTTTCTTAGACCCAATAACAACAATGGTTCGAAATTCCATTCATAATATCAAAGTTAAGCTTAAAATTCTAGTCGAATCGAGCTAGAATGTTTGGATTAAAGCTGATTCTGATGATGTTGAGAAATAGAGAAAGTTAGTAACTCATTTCCTAATTTCTGAAATTTGGTATCCATATAATATACTATAGTTAAGAAATGGAACAACTTTTTCGTACTGTATTCGGTATTTATTCGGCCATTATTCCAGTAGAGCTATCCTGGATGCTTGTCGATCCTTAAGATTCCTCAGGGTCTGGAAGGATATTCACGGGAGTCGGGAAAGGGATAAAATATAGCACAGGAGCCGGAAAAGTAGAAAAAGTCTTACGTCATTTGGGATATTAGCATTGGCCGTGACTCCGGAATTGCCAAACTCAATGTCCGACAAGCTGGATTTTGCTTTTGAATATGTTGAATGTGGTCGACACTTACAAAATGTCACAGGATGCTTGATTTTGGGGAAGTATAGCTCATGATTTCCAGACCCTGAACCTCAATCTTAAATATATACGTATTTCAATAAAGTTAGTCACCAAAAGCCTAGAAAGCTGTGATCGCTGAGAATCATGGGAAACATTTTATATCCAAGAAGTAAGGCTTTTGGCGCGACCTGCAGCAGTTGGGGATGCTCAGAGGAGGTGGACTTGTAAATGGTAGGAGATATCCAGTCCATCAACAGTTTTTTTGAGCGCTTGGAACGTGTAAGATGTATCTATCCATAATCCTTGCCGGTCTCAGCTTTGTAGCTTTTCAGGTGACTAACTTTATTGAAAAAAGTGTATCTTATAGCATAGAATTAAAGAAGAAACAGAAATAGTAACCATAGGCAAGTGCTTCTCACATTCTTCCCTTAGTATTCATTTGTCGAAGCAAGAAATCAAAGGGAATAAACCATAAGCTTTCAGTATTATTTCAATTAACGTGTAGTTTTCTTTCCCATTTCAGATATAAATACATAACTTGTCTTTAAACGCACAACTGCGCAATCCTTTACCAGGCAAAATGGTCAGGGAAGACAAGGCAACTTGGAAGTCAAACTATTTCCTTAAACTTATCGTAAGTTGATTGTTAAAAATATTCATAGAAAAAAAGGATTTGGGATTGAAATTTCCAAATAGTGGTTCTCCATCTATTGAACATAGAAGTTTACTTTTACAAAGGGAGGGAAACCAGAGTCAGATAATCTAAAATAGTGTCGTAAAAATGACGGTACTGTAAAACTGAGGTGTCATGAAGCCTGCAAAAATTGACCAGCGAAAAATAAAAACCTAACCACCATCGTAATAAAAATATAAAACTCATTAGTTATTGTGTTGCTTTTATCAACCTCTTATTAGCAATGTCATTTTATTTTCATTTGGTGGCCTGAAAATCCATAATTTCATGAGAAAAGGTGACAACTTAGGGGGCTTACCATTAAGTCGAGCTGAACAGTCCAAGCGGTCATTTCTCATTAGTTGTAAGACCCTGGCTAATCAGTTCTAAAGAACTGATGCATACCATTTGACAACTGGCCACCCAGACTGGTAGGTTAGACCTGATGGAAAGTGTACTTAGTTTTGCAAATTTTCTCGATTCTGATTGGCTACAACATTTTCTCAGATCAAACCCTCAAACCAAGAGAACCAACTATTGAAATTAGAGCTGCATTAATGGGTATTGTTTGTTTCTATTAGCAACTTTTGGATGAGTACCCTAAGCTCTTTTTGGTCGGTGTTGACAATGTTGGTTCCAAGCAAATGCAGCAGATCAGACAGAATCTGCGTGGCAAAGCTGAGGTCCTCATGGGAAAGAATACCATGATTCGCAAGGCCATTAGAGGACACTTGGACAACAACCCTGCTTTGGAAAAGTGAGCAGCCACAAAAGAAAAGCTATTTAAATTTTTAGCCATGTAGCCATTGCTTTTTTTCTTATTTCAATACCCTGAAACAACCTCTGAGCTGATTAAAGTCAGGACACTGCTTACTCATAGATCAACCCCTGAAAGAACCTCTGGGCTGATCTATGTCAGGGCATGACTAACTTGTAGATCAAACCCTGAAACAAGCTCTGGGCTGATCTAAGTCGGGGCATGGCTAACTCACAGATTGAACCCTGAAACAACCTCTGGGCTGATATAAGTCAGGGCATGGCTAACTCACAGATTCAATTTGAATTCTTGAGGAAATTCGACTTTTGGCAAGAAATGAAAACCGGAGAACCTAGAGAAAAATCCTTTAATCAAGGGAGAGACCTAACAAAACTCTACTAGCATATGATACTGAGTCCAGCAATTGAACCCAAGGCCCCAGAAGTGAGATACAAGAAAGTGTACTATCACTTTGGTTCTCTATAACTTACATAATATCATTTTTATTTATAGATTACTTCCTCACATCAGGGGAAATGTTGGTTTTGTGTTTACCAGAGAAGATCTTGTGGAGATCCGTGACATCATCCTTAACAACAAAGTAGCTGCCCCTGCTAGGGCAGGAGCTATTGCACCTATTGATGTCTACATCCCTAGTGGTAACACTGGACTTGGTCCTGAGAAGACCTCTTTCTTTCAGGCCTTAGCTATCCCCACTAAAATCTCTAGGGGTACCATTGAAATCTTGGTAAGCAGTGAAAAACATATTCAGTTCTTCCATATTTATGTATGTCTGGGCAAACATGATACATTGTGGTCTAGCTTGGTTACAAACAACACCATCTAAGGGATGGACCATAAGATATTTGAGGTGGGGGTTGGGCAATTCATTTTGTGCAGGAATTTTGTTTTTACGCCTCATAGCTGTGCAGGAATTTTTTTTGTTGGACATAATTTGGAATTTTTTTCTCAAATTTTGTTTGGTTTTTGCCAAACCCCCCTCCTAAAAAATCTAATGGTTCATCCCTAACGCAAAGATGTTTGGGAATAGGCCATTTCATGGATCCCATTACTCAACCTCAGCCTCGTCAGTGTGTAATTATTCTTTAGAATTTGACTACAGTCCGCAGTAATGAAAGGAATTGAAACAATTGAAACACTTAAAGATTTCACAGGTTGTAGGCAATTTCTAAAGAATATATTACACGCTGATGAGGCTGAGGTTGAACCCTATCTGGTTTGATTCTTAGACTCGGCATCACATTTAGTATAAATTCCAATTTGATCTGTGAGTTATGATATAGCTCAGAGGTTGTTACAGGGTATCAAACAAAATTTGAAGTTTGTACTGAAGTTAATTTTATTTAGATACACCTTGTTCACTATCTTGTAAAATACCTATGTTTTCCTGCTCAGTTATTGAATATCATAGTGGAACCTCACTTGTCCTATAACATCTATACAGAGTAGTCTGTGTTCTGTTGATGTCTCAGATTTCTAGACATTTCTATAGGGGGATGAAACCTCAGTTGTCCTATAACATCCATGTAGCGTAGTCTGTGTGTCCTATTGATGTCTCAGATTTCTTGTTTGATGTCTCAGATTTCTTTCTTTCTATAGGCAGATGTGCATTTGATCAAAAAGGATGACAAGGTTGGAGCTTCAGAGTCTGCTCTGCTAACTATGTTGAAGATCTCTCCCTTCAGCTACGGTTTGGTTCTTCGTCAAGGTAAACCTAATATCTTTGTCTTAGTTTTCCAAGACAACTAAGCTCAGACAACTTGTTATTGTTATATACTTTTTGTGGTAGAGTGTACGACTGTTCTGCTGATAAGATGTAGAATAAAAGGGCTTTTTAGCTTGGGCATAGAGTTTTTCCATGTCGGATTACTAGTCATTCCCTTGAGTATGATTCCTTTGTTTAAAGGTTGTGCATGAATATGGAAAGGACTCAAACAAAGAATTTAATTTTCAAGGGAGTGATTGGTCTGAAATAGGAAGACAAAAAAGGTCTATTGCCTTTGATTTGGGAAGGATTTCATTAGAATTACAATATATAAAAGGGACATGCTATTGAATTTTTACACACAATATAGTGGTGTACTACTTCGACAATACGGCGGCCATCTTGCCAGGAGGCAAAACAAAACAAAGATGACGAAAGATATATAGAGTTTCATGTGTTTGCTTTTCTTTTATAGTTTGAGGTGCCATCTTAATTTTTCTTTTTTTGTATTCTCTTGAGAGCTGTTGATGCTATTTTTCATAAACATGCAAACTATGTATCTGTGAGCCGCACGCCAAAATTTAGTTTTTGGCTTCAGCCATCAAAACCAATCAGTCAGTACCTTTCATATTTTTGACTTGCGGTAGTGAAAAACCAAATTTCAGCGTGCAGCTCGAAGACACAGATTTCGCATGTTTATGGAAATAGCAGTAATATCAAACGACGTCATTACTGTAACAAAGCTTTATTTGCCCCCTGTACACCCAATAAACTTGCAATCCAAGATGGTCACTGTATCGCCGAAGTGGTTCATTGACCAAGTTGTTTCTATCACTTACAGTCTTTGAAGATGGCTCCTGCTTTGACCCAAGTGTGTTGGACATCACTCCTGAGGACCTCCTTGGAAGATTCAGGGAGGTAAGCTGGATGTACTGCAGACCATGTATTTAAACATTTCCAGACCAGGGCTTAAGATAATGGCCTGTTAGTCTCCAGTCATGATAACTGGCCAAATTGATTTAAGCTCGGTCATATCTTGTTTCTGGCTCAATGTTATTGGTCAAAATGGCCGGCAAGGCAAATATTTGACCAGACAAGTTCCAATTCTAGGCAGACATGATCTGATGTCTGGCAGTTATCTTAAGCCCTGCAGAACAAGGATTTCCATCAAACAACACAAAACTTGGGCATAGATACCTCACCTAGTCCATGAAAAGAGTTTTAGTACTGTAAACCAAGAGATATTCAAATTTTGGTTTTGATTTTAAGAAGACATGTACCTGTTTGTCATTCATCTTTTCATTTATTTTTTGGATTTTTTTTTTTTTTTTTTTTTTTTTTTNATACCCTCCTCAGACCCTCCCCACCCCTTGGAAATTCCAATCCCCCTCCATGGGGGAGGTATGGATATTTTCTTGTACTACACAATATACCCTCCACAGACCCTCCCCACCCCTTGGAAATTCCAATCCCCCTCCATGGAGGAGGTATGGATATTTTCTGGTACTACACAATATACCCTCCTTAGACCCTCCCCTTCCCTTTGAAGTTCCACCCTCCTTCATTGAAAGAAGCTTCCTCAAGTTAAACTGTTCTAAATTTAAAAAACTATAGTTTGTTGCACTCAGTTTTGTGTTAGAAAATTGTATGCTTGTTATTGTTTTTTTAAGAAACAGCATTTAACTATGTTTTTCAACTAAAAGTTATTTAGTCGATAAAAGTCTACGGAAGGGCATCCAACCAACTGATACATAAAACAAAACTACGAATTTAAAATCAGCAAATATAAAATTCACGTGAATTATATTGCTCTAAAATCTTTACCAATAATGCAACTTGATGTGTCGGCAAGACGTGACCGCAAAACTAATGATTCTTGTTTTYCCCCCGTCTATCTGTAAATCTACCGTCCACTTGACTCGAATATTTAGTCGTTATCATCAAATGATTGTTATTGATACAATGGGTGATCGCCTCTAAAGATAGATCCAAAGGGCGTTTGGCTAAGTCTGCCTTCGCAATTCTAAATCAAAACAAACGTAGATTCAATGCGGTCCTTTGGACCAACGAAAGTGTTAGAGAGGTGTCCGTATTTAAGTTCTGTGTAGAAGTGAATATAGTTGCATTCAGGAGAAAAGGAAGTGTCCATAATAGAGAGGTGTCACGTGTCACATTGAGATCTGTTTGTAAGAGAATTAGTGAGCCAGGACCACAGAGGTGTTCGTAATAGAGAGGTGACCTTATTGTAAAAGGTTCGTTTATTAGCGAAAAGTGCGCATACAGCCGAGACCAAAGGTGTTGTTGTTCGGTGTGCAAACTCTTCTTATCCTAAGAATAACAAAGAATTTTTCGACTTATATACGTATTGATCTACAAACACCCGTGCGTAGAGGATTTGGGCGATTTGACATAGCGATTGTCTTTTTTTTTTTTTTTTTTTTTTTTTTTTTTTTTTTTTTTTTTTTTTTTTTGGCTTTTGACATGAATGCTTGATTTCATTGCGATAGTGTTCTCTCCTTATATTTTTACCAAGTACCCTCCTATTGCTTGTTACAAAACTAATAGTAGCATTATTTTTTTGTACCTTCCATTTCCAGGGAATTGCCAACGTTGCCTCAGTATGCCTGGAGATTGGCTATCCCACAGTTGTGTCTGTGCCACATTCCATCATCAATGGATTCAAGGTAACAGATTCTGTTTAAATCACAATCAACATTGGTGTGGTGCTAGAAATGTGCAGATTTTCACAAGCACAGATTTTACTAGAATAGACCTTTTCTGAGTTCCAGAAACATGATGCATTGTGGTCTAGCTTGGGTACAAATGGTACCATATGAGGCATGAACAAAATATGTTATTACCGAGGCTAGACCACAGTGCACTATCTTTGCTATGGTCTATGTTTTTGTCTGAGTTTTTATTATTAATGGTATAAATGAAGCATATTGTAGTATTAATGCAAGAATTTTTTTTTGTGGGCGTGATATTTTTACACCCGTGTCAAGCCAATATGATTCCTTTGGTTACATTTTCCATTTTTCTAACAAATTTGTGACATTTCTTCTTATTACAGAATGTTGCAGCTGTGGCTGTTGAGACAGACATCACTTTCCCTCAAGTTGAAAAGGTGAGAATACAAACAAAAACTAAACATCGAGTTGCTAGTCATTTTTTGTTGTTGCTGATGTTAGTATTTTGTTGGCATTGACTCCTTTCATGTGATGTCAAAGCAGCTGAATTTGGAGGACAAAACTGGTCCAACACTCACTTGAACTACACACCAATTTGCTTAAACACTAACGCTAAGTAAATAAGTGATTGCATCACCCAACCCTGTGAATTTATACGTCCCGTGATGAACCTATTGTTTAGCCCTCCAAATTGAGCTGCATTCTGAAGTGCTGCAAGGGGTCTATAAATTTATTGGATAAGAGTATTGACTTATCCAATGGATAGTTCTATCCACACTTCATGTAACCAACCTGACACCCTTTGTCAACTATGAATATCTCAGAATCCCAGGTATCTTTTAATCTGGTTTCTTTCAATCTAAACATTTTACCGTTTAATAAGTCACGCTGACTAATTTGAACAATTTTAATGGGCTCATCATCCTTTATCCTTGAAGTTGTAGGAAATGTGTAAAGATTTTGCCACAAGTACAATGCTTATCAATGTATGTTATTGTCATTTAGCTCAAGGCCTACCTAGAGGATCCATCTGCTTTTGCTGTAGCTGCACCTGCTGTAGAAGCTGCTGCTGCCCCAGCTGCTGCTGCCCCAGCTGCTGAAGAAAAGAAGAAGGAAGAGTCTGAAGAAGAGAGTGATGAAGATATGGGCTTCGGTCTGTTCGACTAAGCTCTTCTCACTAGACTTTCTTAGTTGTTACAGCTATACTGAACATTAAAGAGCTTCATTCTCCAAGCAAGGCCTTGTGTATTTTATACTCATTAATAGAATGTAGACTCTTCCACAGTCTCTCGCTTGTCCTTTCCGTCTCCACGCTTAGAGACTGTAACGGTACAATGACCGAAAGGACTTATGGGTCCCGAAAACTTGAACCCGGCGTGCTTTGGGAACCAAAATACTCGTCCACAGTTTCTCTCGTTTCAATATTTTCAAGATGGCGGCAAAAACGAGAGAGACTGGAAAGCTTTCGTCCCTCCCTCCCCAGCGCCCTCCCCAAGGGACTTTTGACTCTTAACCCATCTTCCTCGACCAATCGACACGGACAAACAGACGTACAGTGACCAAGGAAAATAAAGGGACCATAGCCATTTCTTTCCATGTGGGATGCGCTCTGTATAACTCCTAATGTTCTTATCCTATGAAACATGCGCTTTGACGTGATGAGCTCGAAAAACGACACGTTTAAGTGTTGATGAACTTACAATCTGATGAAAGGTACTTTTTGGACATTTATTTACTTACAATATTACAATGTTGTAAACTTAATTATCATAATCATCTAAAATATAATATATATTAATTGGAAAAATGGAGTAAACACGTGCACAAAAGAGTAAAATATATATGCATAATATTCTTTATCGAGAGACCATGGACTCGATCTTATTCTTACGTACATATGAATAATACTTAGAGTATGAAACGTTCTATTTTCGGTGGGCGTAACTTCAACTGACACAGATCAAGAAGAGTAAAATATATAAAAAGAGTAAAATATAGATGCATAATATATTCTTTATCGAGAGACAATGGACTCGATCTTATTCTTACGTACATATGAATAATACTTAGAGTATGAAACGTTCTGTTTTCGGTGGGCGTAACTTCAACCGATGCAGATCAAGAAGATGGATCAACGGAGATGTGTTGGAAGTTAAACATCATTTCCGCTAGACCTACTGCACCAGGCCCGTTACCCTTCCTCCCTGTCGCTCCAACCAAACGAAAATCACTGTCAACATCGACTTCTTGTTTATACTTCATGCGCCATCCTCTGTTACCGTAAGCGTCACTAGAGCTGCCATCACTGAACTTAAACTGCACTCTTGCCATCACCCCATTTGAAAATCCCATCTTCATCCCTGTTACGTGGGTATCTGAGAGAGTGATTACATGTTCGCTCTTGCTACTTACTTTGGGCGCACCAAAGGCGTGGCCGGCACCCTTGCCCTCGTAGTGAAACTGAATTCGTTCTACAAAGTTTCCAGCCCAGATGTGAATCTCTGTAATGACTCCATTATTGTCCTTTAGTTCTTGACCGATTATTGTCGCCATGTTTTTCTTTTCATGATCCCCCTTCGTGAGTGCCACGGAGTACGGACCGTAGCTCACTTCTGACACGGTAGTGTCAGCTTTAGCTGCGTCGTTCTCATGACCGGGAAGGAAATTCCCGAGGCTGAACGTTCGAATAAAAGCGTCCATCATCATACTGGCATTCGCTTCATTATACATCCTCAATTTTGCGCGCTTCTGGACGTCTTTGAAAGTTTTTTTGTTCTTATTCCACGATTCACTGTACTTGACAGACTCGCCGTCGAAGGAATCTTTCGTTTTGCCATACGCCGTCCAGTAGAAAAATGGAGGAATGCCCATGGGTTTTTTCTTTGTCTTTACTGACACCGATATTTCATCTTCTCTCCACTCTTGCCACTGAGAGTACACAGAGAGGAAGTGTGAATGGTAGTCAGATACTTTAGTGGTTAGATCTTTTTCCCATTGATCTTGATCTGTAGCATCGCTATAAAGTTTAAGGCCATGTTCGTAGCGCTCTCTGAGTACGGTCAAGTGTAAATACGCATGGGCAACGGTTAGAGGGATCAAGTGGATAGTATTATCTGACTCAGTCAGCTCGCTGTACAATTCATTGCACTGTACTATGATGGCAGAAAGGAGGCTCGCTCGCTCTTTATTCGTAGCATCGGAATACATACTTAAGCTCTGCTTCAAACCATTCAACTGTGCCTCTCGTTCATCCAGCTCGTGCTCCAAAATCTTAACCTCGATGAGATGCTCGACTTGTGACTTGATCAGTGACCAAATATCTTCTGTGTCATCGGGCCAAAATAACTGTATGGCGACCTTCACCACCTTTCCAACTGTGGGGATCATGCTTGCAAGGCCTTCAGCCAGGGTCTTGAGGCGATTGTTCCATGAATCTGACACTTCAACTTCTCCCATCTTACTATATAAAGTTACTTCTTCAACGTCTTCGACAAGTTTCACCAAGTATTGGATAAATGCTGTTTTGGATGAAGCCTTTTATGTGTTTTGATGTTGTTAATTCAAATGGAGTTAAAAGAGCGTGTCCCAATAATACAATTGTTGAAAAAACGTGTCTTCATCTCTGACGTCATTGCGGAGGGGAGGCCAGCATCCTGTACGCGAAAAAAACGCGCGTATTTCCGCAGCCTAAAATTGCTTTAAAAAGACAAATGCACAAATAAAATCCACATCTTCAGAAACGATGTTATTTTGCTTCAGTTAATAAACTGATGGTTTTTTCCCTTGGTTATTCTTTCGTGACTTTCGTGACCGTTTCCTCTCATTATTATGCGCAAATAAACTCGTGCTGACAAGATAGAGCTTTTCATTGTGACGTAACATCAGTGACAGGTGAATGACGGTAATGAAATGCGATATCCGTTACATAACTCAAGATCGGTCACGTCTGATCTCGGACGGTACCTAATGACCAGGGTCCGGTTTTACGAATGGTGAATAGTGCTATCCTATGGATAAGTCCTTATCTAGTGAACAAGTCGATGCTGTTATCCAATAAATTTATCCACTGGATAAGATTTATCCGTCGGATAGCGCTATCCACCCTTCGTACAACCGGGCCCAGGCGGTGGTATGCTTTAAAGGAGATTGATAACTGCAGCAGGACAACAAGGTTATTGATTGCGTGTATCCCTAGCTTGCCAACGTGGCAAATCATCGCCCACCATGACACCCGAGGACATGATGTAGTGATTATCCCTAGTAACTATAGCTTCCCATGGGGCCAAAAGACGTGACCGCTACGTCAGGGTTAAAACACGACAAAAGACATGACAAAGTCGACTCGTTAACCAAAATGGAGGCTTTGACGTCACATGCACCCAGCCCAAGAATAGTCCTTGAGGCGCAGCTAAGTGCCGGCCGCTCAGCCTAATGTAGAGCTTGTGAGGGAAACATATCATTTGTTATTTGTTTCCACCAACCAGTCGGGTGCTGACGTAAACCAAATACGACTGCGAAAATTTCATCGAAACCTAAGAAAAATGCAAAGCCGAAGAACGCCTATGATTTGGTTGATTGCTTATCTAAAAAATAAAAAACATCTAAAAAAATCTATCAGTTTTCTCTGTAATCACGAACGCAACCTTCAGATCCATGCTAGGTGAAAGCCCAAGATCGAATTGGAATTTAGAAGTTGGTTTTTATATCTAAAAAGTTTACTTTTTTGAAGGGAAAAACTTTTAATTGTATGTGATACTCAGGATCGATCGCGTCGTCCGCTTCCTCTCTGCGCGAGTAAAACATTCACCAAGCAGTTTATACAAGAAAGACAAGACATACAGTTATTTTGGAATATGGCTGACGTCATCAGTTCGCAAACTTTAATGTTAAATTCCAAATCTTAAAGAATATAAACTTCCTGCATGCATAAAAGAATCTTACAAAAAGAATTAAATTAAATATCATTAAAATATTTATATATAGTTTCAACTGCTCGTCATAAAATAGATAAACTGATTTACTAAAATGACTCCGTGGCGCAATGGTAGCGCGTCTGACTCCAGATCAGAAGGTTGCGTGTTCAAGTCACGTCGGGGTCAGAGTAAATATTTTATTTTTTGTACAAATAAACTCTCAGCATATGCGTAAAGGGTTTAATTAATTGGGAAATTAAGATATTCATGGCATCGTTTTCATATCACGATTGTTTCTTTCTCGACCCAGCGATCGGTCCAACGATATACACCATTTTTCATACATTGGTTCACTGGTCAAACACAAAGCATTCAGTCGAGGTTGCAAGGTTCAAATTTGAATAATCCTTTGAAAGTACCTTGGCGCCTCGCTTGAGTACTTTGTGTTTGACCAGTAAACCAATGTATAGAAAATGGTGAATAAAACAAGGCAATAGGGACAAGCCTTCGCAGCACAACCTTTTGCGCAAAAGCTGAGAGTTTATTCGCGCAAAATAGAAATATTCACACTGACCCCGACGTGACTCGAACACGCAGCCTTCTGATCTGGAGTCAGACGCCACGGAGTCAATTTTATTTATAAACATAATTATAGTCTCTGTACAATTAATTTTTAATATTCACAAGTGGTTGAACCAGCCATAAATTGTGAAATTTCTAATTATCTTGAATCCTTTTTGAAAATTCTATAGTTTAAAGGAAGTGATTTTCTTATGCAACTGAAGTGGGAGTTCTTGGGATACCGCACAACTATTGACCAGTCTTTATAAAATAATTAAATTATTTTTCGTTCACTCGTTTCAAAATCGGTCAGCATTTGTCGAGCTCAAGGATATCATATAACTACATATATTTTAAATGTTTTAAATTATTTTATAAAAAGAATCTTCAAAGAGGATTCAAAATGTAATTTGAACTTCGATATTTATGGCTTTCAACCAGTTGTGAAGATTTGAAATTTAGAGAAATTATGAAATAACAAGAACATGGACTCCGTGGCGCAATGGTAGCGCGTCTGACTCCAGATCAGAAGGCTGCGTGTTCGAGTCACGTCGGGGTCAGTGAGAAAAATTTTATTTTGCTCAAATAAACTCTCAGCATGTGAGCAATTGCATGCAATGACACCCAACAAAAATACGACAAACCATGACGTCATTTTCGTTGGGTGTTTTAACATTCTCAAAATACATTGTTGTGACAGACCAGTGATATAGTCAAAGCAACACGCAACAAAACCCGCACTAACCTTTTTTTCCAACAGCTGCATACACAAATATTTCCAATCTCTCTTGAAAGTAAAAAGCAAATCAAATTCTGTAGTCCAGAAAAAAAAAAAAAAAAACCTTTCTATGACCCCGACATGACTTGAACACGCAGCCTTCTGATCTGGATTCAGACGCTCTACCATTGCGCCACGATATAATCGCAATAGTTATTCTTTCCTTTTCCTAATTTCATTTCCTTTTTTTTCTTTTCTTGGTCATCCTGTGCTAAGACTTACTCTCCCCAGTTTCTCCACATCTCCCGGTCATTATTGTTGACGTCACGTGTGTACGCTGACGACGGTCCCGGACTCAATAAAGTCCTTGACAACCAAAAAAAGAGCTCAGAAAACCTCCTCTTTTCAACCCCTAATCATTCCCTTATATCTAGAAATCTTCGTGTACTTCTAGCTTAAGTCCATGGCTACATTGTACTTTGTTCTCGGTGAGAACTAAGGAGTATTTTGGTTATTTTAAGTGAAAATTGAGTAAAGGTTCCAGTTCTTGCTTCATTTGTGGTGAAAAACAACCAGAACATGAGCCACGCAGCTCCCGGGTGAGTGTTATCTTTATTATTAAACACGTATTTTTCTCCTTAAACAATCCAAGACTCAGAAGAGAAGCTCTTCTCTATATACGACAAAGAAAAAAATATCAAGACTTGGTCAAGCTGTCGTAAGCATTTTGCAAAATTGCTCAACAATATTTCAACTGTTCACCACACATTGAACAAAAGAAATACGCCAAATTTTAAGAGGCTTTCAACTTCAAGATTTATTATTCCTTTACTTATAATTAAACTATTCGTGTCAGATCTATATAGATATACTATTAAGGTAACTTTAGAACTGTTACTTTTACAACTAAAGACCCTTCGACATCTCTTTTTAATTTTCGTTGAAACTCTGTTTATATAGTTGAGCTAAAGTACAACGGATGTAAAACCATTTAACTTATTTATAAATATAACCCCCCAATTTTAAGACTGAAAGACCATTAATTTTCTAATATCATAAGCTATAATATTTCCTGACGTTTTTACTAAGAAATTTTCTTAAACATTTCCTAATTTGATGCCGTACAGTTTAGGAAAGAATATCTTATGAAAGGCGAGGGAAAAGATAAAAATTTGTTTGAAGAAAGTTCTAGTTTTCAAGAACAAAAGACAGTTCATGTATCCCGCTAAGCTGGTCTTTAATTTATCGCTGTTTTGGTTTAAGTTCTTAGAAAAATTTAATAGAGACTTTTCTTTGTTGTAATATAAGACAATCTGAACACAAATGTAAAACTTTCAATCCTTTTGTAAATGCTCACTTAACCTTTGAATATTGGACCAGTATCTATCCATTTAACAATATTCCCTTGTGATATCCACATACGATATTTTTAATTACTTTACTTTGTTCTTTAAAAAAAAGAATCTTGAGTTTACAGTTAAGCAATGGTATGAATAACCCTACAAGATTCATTGAAATGAGAAAATGAAATAAGAATGAAAGTGAAAAGGAAAAGTCAAAAAAATTAAAATATTATATTTGTAACAAATCTCATAGGAAATTGAAGCAAGTGAGATCGAGTGACTATTACAGAGTATATTTCACTCTATGAGGTAATAAGATGATATTGTGATGGTAAAGACACTTTTTTTCTATAATAAGAAAATCAAAAAAATACAGGTGTTGAAAAAATTTTGGGACTTGCACAAATACATTCAAAGTTGTTATAAGCTTCAGGGGAATTAATTTGGATTTAGAATTTAAATCACTAAGCTAAAATATCCAGCTTCCAAGTTTCATACTTGATGAAATTGATTTTTGGTTGACGTCAATCAAATTTTTCAATATTAGTTGTGCAATTTTTGGTGCATGGTTTTGATTAACGTCTACCAAAAATTGAGTTTGCTATATGGTCCCATATGATATATAGCTGCACAGCTTTGTTGTTAAGAATAATGATAATTAGTTATTTTGAAAATAAAGAATAATGCAAAAACAAAATCCATTGGAGGAATTTTCTGGTGATATATATATACACCTACTTGCAAGAACGCTGTCATACGAAAATAGAACATTAGTGATTTAGTGGGATAGGAATTATATTAAAAAACAAAAGAAGATCACTGAAGCTGAACTTTTTCTTTTGTCTTTTAATGTATTCCTTTCTCACTAAATTGCTAATATTCTAATATCGTATGACAATGTTCTTGCAAGTAGGTGTATATATATATGCTTTCTAAGTTAGTAGCTGATAATGATTGCTAATGATTCACTAAAGAAATAGTAAATTGTTCAGTATCATATATACTATAGCACCAGAGAATTTGCATACTGAATATATATTTATTTATTATCTGATTTGTGTAACATTAAGGATAAGCTATTTTGGTCTTTTGTTAGCTTTAGTTATCTATTTCAGGTATCATATATGTATTATCAATGTGAATGTATGTGTATGTCATTACTGTAAGGCTTAACCTAAAAGGCTGTCATTAGTGTGCTGATGAAATCTAAGTTCTCCAATGTAATATCCTCTATATCTTGACTAATGGAGGGCAGTAATCACAGCTGGCTTATTCTTTTCACATGATATTCTAAATTTACCAGAGCTTTATTGTGCTAATGTGAATAAAATACTCATCATAATGTTATTTATTGATTTCCTACAGTGTAGCTGGGTTCTTTATTTAGTGCTGGGTTCTTTATTTTGTGCTTTAGCAATCGTTTTAGTCTTGTTCCATTCCCGTACCGTCCACTTCCCTCCTATAATAATTAATGTAATGAAGAAAAACAATGTCACAAGAGTGTTAAAAATAATTTAATTTATCATATCTATCTTGGTAACACCGCAACACACACACAAAAAAATAAAATGTTTAAAAACTGTTTGATCCATTAATGGATTAAATCTCAAAGAAAGATAACACTAAAAGGTTCTTTACTATACCTAATGCTACTTAGTGCATTTTGTGCTATTTTATCAAATCTATCAGAAATCCCTATAGCTAACCAGACAGACAGGAAGCCAGACTTTTTTGATTCCTTTTTATCTTGAGATGGAATAATTTAGTGATGAGGGTTTCTGTTAAAAGCAAACAAACATCAAGATGTATAATTTACTTTGGTATTACAGTGTCTCCACTGCATAGTAATGTAATTAAAGAAAGTCAATCAAATTTCTTACAGCTATTTTTATCACAACTTATTTTTTTTTCCTCTTAAAATTTTTTTAAAACCTTTTTGTTCTTTCATCTTCTATCTGCTTCTAAAACTTCCTTATTCCTATCACTTGTGAAAAGTTACTAAAACAAGTTAGTTGTTTAATTCATTTGAAAAAAAAAATGGCTAGATTTTAAATTCCATGGTTGCCATGGTTACTTAGTAATAAACAAGTAAAGCAGTATGGAAGAGTATAGTCATCTTGTCTGGCTAATGTCAATATTTTAAATTAAACACTTATATTAAGGATGATCAATTTACCTATATTACCTAACAGTAAAGAAAATCAGGGTCAGAAAAGACCTCAATTGCCCTATTTCACTATCATCACATCAAAACAATCTATTGTTTAAACGCAAAGGATCATGGTCGTCGGAGGGGGTCAAATCAACGCAAATTCACTGAAATTGTTTTAAAACCTGTATCAATCCACGAAGGGAAGTAGAATAGCCAGCAAATGCTCAGAATATTTTTTAGTACATATTAACACATATATTATATCTGAAAACCAGGCCATTTTAGATTAAACTGTTTCGCAGGAGCAAATTTTGTTGAATGTTCTATGGGATTTGGCGATTCTATCCCCCACATAAACAAGCAGTGATGTCATAGTGAAATAGGGCAATTAATTAGACAAATCTAGAACTAACAAACTAAGAAACAAGAATCACAGAGGCAATTCCCCATAACGACCACTTTATCCTTGAGTTCTTATTACAGTTATATGCCTGAGGCTAGTGCTTCTCCTCGCTCTTCTTTTGTGCTTAAATTCTTGTTTGCTGTGTCCAATTTCACTGAACAGACTGAAGCAAAACACAGTTCTATATTTATTTAATTTTAATCTTCTTGTTTTGACAGCCAACTGGCGGCCTATAACAGCCTTCAAGACAAACACCTGTCAGGATACTTTAATAATGGCCATATGAAAAAACACCTTGTTAAATCAGGATTGGTAAGTGAAAATGTAGTTATTTGCAATTGCCTTCATTCTCTTGTATAATCTAAAGTGAGAATATAAAATTCATGACAAATGAATAATGAAAAGCAGGTTCCAGTAACTTTAATACTAGATATATCTTGAGATGTCTGGCAAAGACAAAGAGGGATTTATTCTGCTTTTTTTTTTTACCTCTCATGAATAAAAAATCAACTCCCCCCTCTGTGATTTAGAAAAGTATTTTTTTTGTTATCTTGTGGAATATTGTTAAAGTGGTACTACCTAGGTTGGGTCATATAAAACATTTATAAATTTAAATATATATATATATTTCAATATTATAAACTTAAATATCTTAATATCAGTTAATACCTACCCATCATGAAACGTTTTCCATTTATCAAGCCTAGTGGATTAGCAGAGCTGATCTCCTTACTGTACTTTTTCATTATGCAAGCTGATATTATTTTCTGTTAATATTTATTTTAGATAACCAAAAAAGGAAAAATTATAGATGAGAAGACCTACAGACTGAACATGGCTAAGAAAGAACACAGAAAGCATGTTAGAGATCTTCTAGCAACAGCTATTATACACAAAGCGCTTGACATGGAGGTAATAAAAACAACAATAACATTTAAAGTTAACTTGTGTGTTTTGGGCCACCTGTGTTTTTAATAGACACAGGAAGCCCATGCACTTAGTTTCTAACACAAATCACAGAAAATGAAAATGAGAAGTTATAACAAATTAAAATAAACAAGAAAGACAAAACATTTTTAAGGAATTCAAGGGTCACCAGAAATGATTTCTTGAGTTCACAAATCTCAAAAAAACAAAAATGTCTGATCATGCATCACATAAACCACTTGTTCACTCCTGATTTGCTGTTAAATATGTTACAGAGGACAAGACAGTATGAAATAAGAAAGAGACTGGATGAAGTTTATAAAGTTGAGCTTGTTAGAAGAGTCAAGGTAATGTGGTGTATTATATCTTAGTTAAACTCATCACTAGTAGATGAGCTTGGCATAGGTGCTTTTCAGTTGGATGAGAGGGGTCTGGTTCATAAAGTCAATGTAACCATGGCAACCCTGTCACGACCCACTTTGCACCTGTCACACTGACGGTCTCGGTCTGGTCAGTGGAATACTTACCTATATATACCTATATATTGTAGGGAAGGGGGAGGGCAGGAAAATACAAATACTGGTATATAGTGTTTAGCATGTGGCTGCTATAGAGGTAAGCGAATATTGTGATGCATATGCGTATTGGGCATAGGTCATGCTGGCATGATCACATGGATAGCTTATATTCCCGTTGATCCATTAACAATCGATAGAGTTGATCGATATCACGGTAACCACTGATCATGGTTCTGTTGAAACAAATGATTCCTTATCTTGATTGATCTTGATATCTTGATATCTCTTTGCATTTGCCTAATATCACTATTAAAGCGATGTCATTTTTACTTTATGGCTATTTATTCTTCATTTGTGACTCTGCCTTTCTTGATTTTTTTCAAAATTTTAACAAACTTAGAACTAAGCTAGTAAATAGAAATTTTGCACTCCCTTGAACATACTCAGAGTTAACTTTGGATCGTCTTATACTTGTTCTTTATTCCTCGATCAAACTGCAGATAAGATTCTTAATTTTCTTTACAGACCTCTTTAGTTTCATTAACATTACTCGATGGATGATTGACAACTAATGTGCTCCACAGCTCTGTTCTAGGCATGCACCTATACTGTCAGTCAATCAATTTTCTTTATCTGTAGTACCTGATAACCTTCCTACTTATCTCTTTCTGTCTTACCTCTTATTTCACATGTCTTTAGGAACATGATAATCAAGAGGTATGTCTCACTCTTATTCTGTCTGTTCATTTGTCTGTCTATCTGTCTCTTTATCTTTCTATCTCAGGTTTGCAGTTTTACTGTCAAATGTTGATAAAATCTGTATTCTGTATAGGTATATGTTCTTTCATTCTTTGTCATGGAAAGTAGAAATCCAATTACGTCTGTTAACTGTCTGTAGTACTTACTAAAATTAATACGGAAGTTTTATAGATTTCTCTTTATAGATTTATTTCTCATGGGCATGAAAAATGAGACAAAAATTTTAAGGAAGTCGTCAATTGACAGGAGTTCGCAACTTAAAGCACTGATCAACCCATAGGTCTACCTCTCAGACTGTCTAAGAACCATTGTTGAGTTGGATCTACTTTATTTTGTCACCATCTAAGGCATTACTGACTTGTCCAGACTTGAGATTCCACTCACTGTCATGTTACTATTCCAGCCTGTTATTTTAAATCTACACAAAGAATACGTCATTCCAGACATGCTCAAATATCAGAACAGCAAGTTCACGCGTCATGATCGTAAAGTATAAAAAAGATAACTAATTAATAAAAATGTTTTATAATGTTTGTTTACTATTTGTTTTGCACCATTTTAGGAGGACAGGAAAAAGAAAGGGGATGAAGACATCCTACCATTGTTGACTCCCCGTGAGAGGTCTGCCAGGAGAAGGAAACATGTTCGACCAGCAACTGCACCTGCAGGGCTGAACGGAACTGCACAGCCATCAGAAATACACTATGATGATAATACTGGAAGACTTTGCTACACGGTAATGATTTTCATATCAATATTATGTCAGTAATTAGGACAGGATAATAGGAGTATAGTTTACAGGATTATTGGGGTGCATGTGACATGATGTAACTACTGCCATGTAAGTTCACTTAAGAGGTGATTGTGTGTTACTTTTGTTCAGTGTTGGGCATTATCTTGGCCATGTCTTTTGTCCTGGCTTTTATTCTTATCATCAGGCAACATCAGTATCATTATCACCACCTCGACCACCACTGTCATCATCACCCTCACTTCCACCACCAACATCAACACCATCGTCATTATCACCACCACTACCTCCACCACCACCAGCAATCAGCACCACTATCATCACCATCCTTGCTACCACCACCACCAACATCAACACCATCGTCATTATCACCACCACTACCTCCACCACCACCAGCAATCACCACCACTATCATCACCATCCTTGCTACCACCACCACCAGTATCAACACCATCATCATTTTCACCACCACCATCATAATCAATCAACACCATCATCATCAACATCATGAGCAGCAAATAACTGCATTAAGGACAACAATATCAAAAGCAACAATTATAATGAAATCCAGCAAAACTACTTGTTTTTCAAGCTATTTCTAATCATAGCTTCCTTACAATGATTATTATGCTAAAACAATTATCTATTTAATCTTAGATTGAAGGCCAGGAGACAGCTATGAACACTTATTTGAAAGATGATGAAGATCCCAATGGATCCCCTTACACTAGAGCTTACCCTGGAACATATCCTGTCCCTGCCCCTCCCCCTGCAGGGACGCCACGTAGACCGAGACCAAATAGTTCAACTTTGGCAAGAAAGAGAACGAGGCCTGTCAGAGTGAGTTTATAGCATCAATTGAAGGCATTGAAACTATATAGAGGTTTTATACCTTCACATGCTTGTCCCCATAATACAGCTTGGACTGCCTGTGGTTAGATGACAGGGCCCGGTTGTACGAAGCCTGGACAGCGCTATCCGGTGGATAAATCTTTATCCAGTGGATAAATCGATGCTGTTATCCAATAAAATTATCCACTGGATAAGATTTATCTGTTGGATAGTGCTATCCAGGCTTCGTACAATTGGGACCAGAACAATAAAATCCCTTTGCTCTCGGGAATTGAATTCTAATGAAAAACGATTGTTTAATATCCTTCCTGCTCTATTTACTACACATGATGCTGACTGTTAGTCAGACCCTTTTTACATAATGATAATCTATTAATTTGTTCATATTTTCTCACAGTTCCATTATTTAGCCAGGACAGAACCAGCAGTGGCTCACAGAGTACAGGTAAGACAAACTCAGTGACTTAAGACTCATTCACATAAAAAAACATTTGCAAATTAAAAGTTAACTGTAATGTTAAAAATGTGCCAGTTGAACAATGCCAATGTTTGAAATCTCCCAGACGTTTAAAATGGTATATGCAAAAGCTGACTTATAAACATGTTCAAGGCTAGACCTGTGCAAATGAGTTCGTGGTCTTCAAAACAGCAATTAGGTATGCAAAAATCTGTAACATCCTCTAACCTCTCCCCCTAATTGCATTAGTAAGTAACCCATCAGGAGAGACCCCCATCAAATGACCTTGTGCTAAAACTTCCCAACCCCTCCCCTAATAAAAACGAGTGACTCATCAGAAGAGGCTCCCTTTATTAATTGTCTTATTTTTTTTAAAGCTGCAGTCCATGGCTGAAGTGACAATGAAGTTCCTCGGCCCCAGCCTAATGCTAACCAACAGCCTGTTCCCTGAAGATCGTTTAAGTGAAGTGATGGTTCTACAGCAGCACTGTGGAGGGAGTACCCTGTGTGTCTTTAGAGAGTTGTTACCACCCAATAGTAAGTTGACAAATATATGCACTTACATATTATAAGCTGAAGTCTGTAATTTGATTGGATGAAAATTATTGCAAATCATGAATTTTACCTCTACTCTGTGACTGTGTGTCTTTAGAGAGTTGTTACCACCCAAAAGAAAGTTGAAAAAATGTATGCACTTGCATATTCACCGCGTAGTGACTGTGTGTCGTCAACGTTAACCTGACCTTGGTTTAATCATTTGCGTGAATCAAATATAGTTAATAATTTTCTGATTGACGGTAGATGAAAGCGCAGACGACTCGACGCGCCAGAGGTCGCAGCACCACAAAAAGCTAAGCACTTATTCTTATTTGACTGACCGCAATTATTTTTTTATCTTTCGACATCTAGCTATCTTCACGTTTGTTTCTCGTCGTCATCGAGGCGCACCGTTTGGCCTGACATTTTACATCGATTCTTTACAAGACATTCGACTCAGTTCCTGCTGCGAGTATAAACACAAGCCTGGACATATCCTGGGCGGACGAAATGGTCATTTCCAGTTTGTACAAGTTGAAGGTGCTGCTCCATGTTACAGGTAAGGTCTTACCATCCCCTCTCAGATTAGTTAATTCTGTTGATAACTATTAGGTTTGGTATATAGGGGGAAGGGGTGGGGCGACCTTTCCCCTCTCCCCCCTCCTTAGTCTCCAATGCGCCGCTATTTTGTATAACACGCCCTCTAGCTGCCTTTTTTGTGTCAATATTTTATACATAGTGCACTTACTTTTTCTTTTGTATTCACCGTGCGTCTACCTACACTAGTAGAAAAAATGTAAATTAAATTTACATCGAACACGTAGGAAGTGATTGCTCAAATCCTCAAAGCACAGGAGAGAACCAACAACTCTGCTCACATACGACACCAACATTAGTGAGAGGTGGTACATTAGCGACGCACAACACCCCAGCTTCCCCTAGGCGTTACACAGGCACTGTATGACTGAAGTTTTGCTTATTATATACATGCATCCCCTTTCTTACTTCTGTTCTTGTTGTGTTAGGTGCCAGATTGCTTCAGGTGTGCGTGATCACAGGTCTAAGGACAGCAGCGAACAAGGCGAGGAGAAAGAAAATAGATCAAAGACCTTCCTCACGCAGGTAAATGACTTGGTAATATTTTAAGTGTAATACCGTATTAGCATAACCAAGGATATTACACTCGTTACCATATCGTAACATACTAGTATAGCCTTGTTCACACCAGCAACGCAAAGGCAAGCACAAGCAATGTTCACATGTGAAACACAAATACGAGCAATAGAGCATGTGCATACTACGTCATAACCACCATCTTGGTTGACGATAACAAAGCGTTCCTCATTAGCTTCTCTTGTTAGATCAACCAAAATGGCGGCTGTTTCATTGTTATTCATATCTCAAGGGATTTTAATTCTCATGGTTGCACACCTGGTCGTAAGAAGTAGACTAACATTAGAATAATGAGAATAGAATAAGTTTTTGGTCTTGCGTTTTCCATTTGCGCAAATACATGTTCATAAATGCAAACGCAATTGCAAGGACATTTCTTTTTTTGCGTTGCACTTGCTGTACTTACTTTTATTGTAAATTCGTTTGCATTTACATCGCACGTCTCAACCAGGCGTAGCTGATCTCGCGCAATTATTCATAGATAGTCAACTTTGCTATAACTTTTATTGGAATCCCATGCATATTTGTTTGTTTAACCAGGACGAGTCCAACCAATCAAGAGAGTCGTTTGACGTTATCATTACTAAAGTAGATCCATCTGAGAATGAAAGCCAAGGTAACCAAACCCTCACATCTCAGTAAATATCTGATATCAGAAAGCGCGCCTTTTTGTTAGCATTCGTGGAATAGACAAAAAAAGCGCATGGTTTGAAGGTGATGGGGCATTCGGCGGGGGGG